TCCCCACCTCCCTCTCTCCGTCTCTCTTTCTCTCTCCCTCTCTCCCTCTGTCCCTCTCTCTCTCCTTTCTTTTTGAGACAGGGTCTCATTTGTAGTTCAGGTTGGCCTTGAGCTCATGGTGATCCTCCTGCCTCAGCCTTCTGAGTGCCAAGATTACAGGTATGCATTGCCGTGCCTGGTTGGGAGGAGTTTCTGCCCTGGCAGCCCCTGCTGGGCTGGGCCCTGGGCACTGAGTCTTGGGTTCAGGGTGCTGCTTCTCCTTGTAGTTGGGGACCAAAGCCCACTGGTGGGGTGAAGTATCTCCTTGCCTCTCGGCCTGGAGCAGGGAGGACTTGCATCCTGGACTGTGAGGAGGGTGGGCTTGAGTTCTCTGCATGCTCTTGCAGCCGCTCCATGCCATGGAAGACATGAGTGGCACACACAGGCACGTGAGCCAGGGGACAGTGTGCGCCTGGTGATGCCTGGTGTGGCCATGAGCTCTCACTGAACTTCCCTGTGCCCCGATTGCTCTGGACACCCCAGCCCTGGGCATCTGCTGGCACTGCCTCCTCAAGGTCTCTGGAGGCTACAGGCTCCTGCTGATCCTCTCGGTCACAGGCAGGATGCCTGCAATGGAGCTCTGGTGCTGCTCACCCCACTGGCCTCTGGCCTTTGCCCTCCATCCCTGGGAGTGGAGGGGCCCTGTCAGCACCAAGGGTTGTGGCACTTGGTGTGCTCGGAGCATGGGTCAGTGGCGACCAGTGCTGCTCATGCCAGGACCTCCCTGCCCTGAGGAGCAGCAGAGGACAAGGGCATCGCCCTCCATCACTGACCCCTCAGGGGCCTGGTGAGGACTCACCGTGAACTGGCGCACCTCCCCTCGGTTCACGAGCTCACGGTCCTTCTCGGGTGTGATGGCTTGGGCCAGTTTCTAGGGCAGAGGGGGCGTGGTGGACATGTGGTCACAGGCAGAGCCCCAGGCTGGTCCCGATCTCAGGCAGGGCCTACTTCTGCCTTGCAGGAGCCCAATCAGTGCAGTGGGCACTGAGGACAGCCCTGTCCCCTGCGTTCCCTCCCGCCCTCCCTGTGGCAGCCCATGACCTTCTGCTGCTGTCCACAGAGCAGGCCCATGGAGCCCTGACCTGAGGTGGTGCTGCAGCCGGGGCACACCTCAATGGCAGACGTTGGACATATACACATATACATATGGGCACCACACATACATGGACACATGAACACATGAACAGAGTACACATGTGTGGACACATGACCCACAGGCAGGCATGCAGAGACCATACACACAAACACGGGGACATATGACCCACAGGCAGGTGTATGCATGGATGCAGTGAACAGGTATATGAAGCATGCACAGGCACACATATAGACTCAGATCTGCACACACTTGGACACTGTACATGAACACAAAGACACACGGGTTTACAGACCCCAGCCACACATGCCGACACATGGGCACATGGATACCCCCAGCAGCCCCACCCCTCATGGGCCAGCCTCCTTTGCTCTTCTGGCCACAGAGGAGCACGCAGGAGTGGATGGAGATGTGGAGGCCATCCTGACCTGGTGCCCTGTGCCCACCCACCTCTCGGAAGGAGCCTGGGAGGCTGCAGAACTTGTAGGCTGCGTAGATGGGCACCATAGCCATGGAGGAGGTGGCAACTGCCCAGCCCAGCGCATTGGCCCAGGCAGGGAAGACGTAGGTGCCATAGTGAGGAGGCCTGAAGGTCACAACGCTGACCACGACCACAAACTGAAACCAAGGACACAGGCAGCAGACTCCTGAGGGACAGGTAAGTGGCAGCAATGGGTCTCAGCTAACATGCTGCCCCAGGGGGGTGATGGGGCAGGACCACGTGGACCTCGTCCTTCCAGACACAGCTGTCCCTGTCCTCCTCCATCTTTGCTTGACACCATAGCCCAGCAAAGCCAGCCACCTCTCAGAGCACTGCTTAGGCACCTCTCACAATCTGCAGCCTTCGTGTGTTCTGAAGTAAGTGGCAGACCATGGAGCTGACCTTAGCACTGCATGACAGGGGAACAGGGCCCTGTCACTTGGGCTCCAGGGGACCCGATAACCAGCAGCATGCATGCACTATGTTGCTGTAAACGTGACCCCATACTTGTGCACTGACCACACTACGAGTACACACATAGTGCACACCTGCACAGGCCCTGCGTGCCTACGTGGGTACGACACACCCGCCAGCAGTCAGACACACCTTCTTGGGACATCTCCCGAACTTCACACAGGCTAAGTCCTGCCCAGGACACTGGTGAGTGCAGGGCCAGCACTGGGCTCGGGACCCTTCTCACAGGGCCACACACAAGCTGGAGCCCACCGCTGGGAGCTCCTGCATGCACCTGGGCTGGGCCCGCCCGGCACCTCTTCCCTCTCCGGCACTCTGGGAGTTCAGTGGCTGCGGATCCAGCTCAGGTGTGGAGGACAAGGAGACTCCACCTCAGGCTCTGCTGGCCCAGGCAACTCCCTGCACCTGTAGACTCAGGGCAGCATGAGTCTCTTCAGCCACTGGAGCCACCTGTTCCACCTGTCTGGGAAGTGTGGGCTTTGCAACACCCCATGACTTAGAGCATAAAGCCAGGTGACCACAGGTCACACCAAGAAGGGCCCCAGGGGCTCCGGGGAGGGAGCCTGGCTCATGCCTTTCTGTGGCTCTGCACACATAGGCCTGAATCCTGTCCCCCATCACTCCAGAGGCAGGTGCATGGCCAGCCTGGTCTGGGTGCCCAGATGGAACACACATTGCTCTTGGGGATCCTCAGAGAAGGAAGCCACCAGCAGATCAGAAATGCCATGCTGCATCTTTGGGACCTGGGCAAGCTCAGGGTGGGTGTGGAGGACGGGCTGCATCGGTCTTACCAGCAGGAAGCAGGGGCTGACCAGTTTCCAGCACAGCCGCCAGTACAGGCTGGGCCGCCGCCCCGTCATCTGCTTGATGTCCTCGCTGAACTGTCGGACACCTGGGGGGTGAGGCCATTGGCATCAGGACTGTGACCCAGGCCTGTGTGCAGCTGGACCCCTGCTCCTGGCCCCACCCCACAGACCCCTGGATGCCCCCAGGCTCTGAGGAGGGGCTCCCAGTCCAGCTACTAGAGGCCTCACTGGCTGCTGGTCCCCACATGTGGGCTCAGTCCTGGTGAGCCTCTTCCTTGCCAGTACTTGGGACACCTGTCTAGTGCCCCTGACCCTGACCATCCTCTTGGGGCCTCCTCCTGTCCCACAGCCCCCTAACTCCTTCTGCAACTGGTATTTTTTCCACTTTTAAAAAAATTATGGAAGTGGGGTATAGTAAAACCTGACTATAATCCCCACATTCAGGAGGCTGAGGTAGGAAGACTGCTGGGAGTTCAAGACCAGCCTGACTTGTGTAGTAGGACCATCTTCATAAAAACTGTGGCCCAACACACATAACATAGATTTACCAGCGCAACCATCTAAGTGCACAGCGCAGCATCTAGCGTTTGCATGTCGCTGTGCTGACATTGTACCTACCACGCCCTGAACTCTTTTTCCAAGATAAGCTCTGCTCATTAGATACCACTCCTTCCCCCTCGTGAGCCCCCAAGGCCTCAGCTATCTTTGGACTTGACCCACATGGAGGAGCACATGGTGTCTGCCCCTGGGGACTGGTTCTTGCCAGCCCGCAAGCATCCCTGACACTCATCCATGTCCCAGTGCATGGCAGGACTGCTGTCACTGTTGAAGGCTGAACAGTATTCCACAATCACTGATACTTAGAAAAAATGAACTCCAGAAATGTAATAAATGACATTTCTTCTCCAGCAGCTCTCCTGAGGCCCACTTTAGGAGATGGGTTTTCCTTTTATTATTGTTATCTGCTTCTTTGCGCTGCTGGCCCGCTGTGTAGCTCAGCACTGTGCCAAGCTGTGGGTGACCCGGGCAGCTGCACGGGATGCCTCCTGGCCTCGGCTGCAGGAACATGGGGGCCAGGAGTCCTCCGTGATACTGATGCTCAGGACAACTGTCACAGGCACTGCCAGCTCTCTTGGAGGCACTGTGGTGAGGTGAGGCTGGCTGATGCCCGACCTCTGCTACAGATAGAAAAGCCGGAGTGTGGTGAGAGGCTTGGCTCTCGTCAGCCTGGGCTTCCCTGTGCTTGGCCCGCTGTGTGTGGACATTCTGGGCAGTGGGCAGTGGGCAGGGCAGCACCCTCACTCATGAGTAAGCAGCCAGGCTTGGGTCCTGCCTGTATGCAGTGTCACCTCGAGGGACGACTGTCCTCTACCCACCTTGCTGGAACCAGGTGTGCTGTCTGCTGAGCACAGCTGGCCGCCGTCACCCAGATGGAGCCTCCAAGCAAGACTCTGCCCTCTGTGTCCACTTACAGGGTCCCAGCAGCCCAGGACGCCATAGGCCCCACAGCTCACGAGGCCCAGGACGCTCACACTGCCCACCACACCATGGACACAGCACAAGCTCCCTGGAGCCAGAACATCTTGCTTCCACGGGCCTCTTTGCCAACAGGAAAAAAGGCTGCCAGAGATCCAGCGCCATCTCCCTACCAGACTCACCATAGAACCAGGCCACCCCAATGGCTTCAATGAGCACCCCGAAGAGGATGGACGTGCCGGCTGCAAAGTGGTCCAGCAATGTGAAGACGTAGATGCCCCCCTGGAAGAGAGGGGCCCTGGCTGAACTCTGGCTGGCTGCACACCCTGCCGCAAGAGTACTTATCCTGAAAGCCCAGCCACAGATGCACCCTGTAGGTGCTGAGTCTGGGCAGGTCCCACATGGGTCAAACCCAATCACCCGCAGCTCCTGGGAGAAGTGCCAACCTGCTGCTCCTCTCTCTCCTGAGCCCCAGGTCTTCCGGGAGGCAGCAGCCTCTGCAGGCCCTACACAGCATCCCCGGCCACCCCTGGAGGGGATGCCCCTGTGGGTCCCCTCTGCACATGGTTCCCCTGGCTCCTGTTGCAGAGCTGCCCACCCCATGGGGGCCCGGATGCCAGCAGGTGGTGGTGCCTACATTGGTGACGCAGAAGAGTGACAGCAGGAAGGTGCCCAGCACGATGCACAGTGTGAAGAGCTCCCGGTGCCGGTGTAGCAGTTGAAACTCGTCGATGAGCCCCGTGATCACAGACTCCATGCCACCCATCTGCCGGCACAGATGAGGCACTTGCACCTGGTCCCGGAGATCAGGTCCGGGACAGACAGGGAGCAAAGACCAGCATACAGCCCAGCGCAGGATGAGGAGACAGCCTCGGGGAGTCTCGCTGGTGATAGGGTCCCCAGAGAAAGGTCATTGGGCAGGGCAGGGCCATGGGGATGACACAGTGCTGTCCCCCCACGCAGGACAGTGGGGATAGTATAGCTCTAAGGCACAGCTTGGCTCTGCAGTCTGGAGCAAGGTGTCCCTCCTACTAATGCATCCCAAGGTGGAGAAGGCTGTCCCCAGGCACATGGTGATGGGACACCCCCAGAAAACCTGACATGTGCTTCAGGACCTGTGTACCCCATGAGCATGGTACATGGGGCCACCCTCCCAGGTGAAGGGATACAGGGTCATGGTGGGCCCTGGTCCACCCAGCAGGCTGTGACCCTGAGAGGTTGAAAGTCACCATGAAGCCCCTGTTCCTGGGGATGTGAGCTCAGTTATACTCCAGGAAGCACGCGCTGAGCCCCATCAGGTGGGCAAAGATGTGGAGAGCCATGGGGCCCCAACCGGTCCTGATGCCCAGGGCTCAGTGGGGTGGAGGCTGTGATGGGGGAGGACAGCGGGCTGGGCCCTGTGGTGGTGGCACCGAGACAGCCAGGCCCTCACTGTGGTCAGACTCTGTCCTGGGGTTTCTGAATGGGGATCTGGAGCCCCAGGTGGGCGCCCTGTTGTGTGTCTTCACGGGCAGTCACTGTCACTGTCACTACTTCGCCCAGCAGGGCCCCCAGCCCGGGCCGCGGGCCCCATACTCACGGCGCTGTCGAGCCCCAGGGTGAGCAGCATGATGAAGAACACCACGGCCCAGGCCGAGGACAGCGGGAGCGTGGCGATGGCCTCCGGGTAGATGATGAAGATCAGCCCAGGGCCTGCGGTCAGAACCGGCTGGGTGGCAGGGGCTCCTGCTCCCCACCTCCGAGGCCGGCTCAGCCTGGGGAGCCCGGCTGGGCCCACAGGAGCCCCTCATTGCCCTTGCAAACTCCCACCCCAACCGTTTGGGTGCCTGCTTGCTCCCCAGCTCAGCAGTCTTGCTGCGACTCACTGGTGCCCACACCAAGCCAGGGAGCACCAGGCAGGGAAAAGGGCAAGACGGGAAGGACGGGAGAGGTTTCTGGAGCGGCCCCGGGTGCCTGATAAGGCTGTGGCCTTGTTCAGTTGGTGCTCCTGGGCAGGGCCCGTGAGTGTGCAGGATCATTCACACACGAAGATGCAAGCGCACACTCTCACAGTACACACACATGCAAGCATGCACAGGCACACTCACACATGCGCAAATGCATCCCAGGATACGCGCGCGCGCACACACACGCACGCACGCACGCACGCACGTACGTGCTCGGCAGCCCAAGCAGTCATGACCTCCATCCCTGGGTACTGAGGAACGCAGCTCCTCCCCTGCTGTGCCCAGGGCCCAGTACTGCTCACGTGGACACAGCAGCGGCCTCCTAGTGGACATGGGACAGGTACAAGTGTGGCTCATGTCCCCACTGCCTTGACAGCAAGGACCCTGGAAGCCACAGAGGTGGGTGCAGATCTGCGGGGCCCGTGGAGTTCAGGAGAGCGGAGCACCCTGTGAACCACGCTGATGCACAGGCAAGGGACAAAGCAAAGAGTGGTGCCCTGTGCCCCCAACACCTGCTCACCACACAGCCCTGGGGGCCCTGGCCTGCCGAGTCTGGACCCAGCCCAACACCCATTAGTTATCCTGACTGAAGGGGGTGTCCCTGCAAGGCAAGACATCCAGGGTGTGGCCCATGGGGATGGGGATGACCCTCTTCCTTGACACCAGAAAGCTGTGATGCTGAGAGGGCACGGGACCCCACCAAGGCTCAGTGTGGCCTTAAATGAGCCCCAGCCAGTGTCCCCTGGGAGCTGCTCGGTGATTGTTTTCATGACTCATGGTCACACACCCTGGGCCTGGGTCCCAGCCCTCAGCCTTGTGTCGGACACCTTAGTTACATACTCCTCTCCAAGGTGCATGTCTGGCTCCAGGCTGGGGAAAATGGTTCTTAGCAATCGCTTGGGCCTGGAGGCTGAACCCAGGGCAGCTCCACCACTGGGCTAGCCTCCACCCTCACCCCTTCTAGGAGAATTTTATTTTTAGATGAGGTCTCACTAGGCTGCCCACTCAGGGCTTGAAATCACAGTCCTCCTGCTTCGGCCTTGGCCAGCGCGGGGATTACTGGCACACAGCACTGCACACAGCATCTTTTTGAAATAATCAAAAGCCATAAGGTGGTGACCACTTTTTGTCATCCTAGAGCCAGCAAGGCACTCCCAAGGCACCCAGCACTCCAGCCAGGCTGGGGACGCGGGCTCCTTTGAGACTCTAAAGCTTAACTGCTACAAGCTATGAGCTCAGGAAGTCTCTTCCTGCTCGGTGGAGGTAAAGACAGAAGCCAGCCTTCCCTCCCTGTACCTGAGTCAAGGCTTCACCACGGTCCACGTGCCAGGGGCGCCAGTGACATTTACTTTGCCTGTTCAGAAACGTGTGGAGGACGCTGCCCCACTTGCAGGGGCTGATAGTTTTCAGGGCTGCTTATGATAATAAAGGGCAGGGAGCTGCAGTGAGTAAATTTCACCTCTGGCTTGATTTGCATTCTGTTTCCTTTCCCACCTTCTTTAGGTTTGTCTGGAGGGGAGACCTTAGGCTCAGGGACCTCAAGAGGGTCCCCCCAGCCTGGCTCTCTCTTCTGCAGGCCCAGCCTGCGTCCTTGCAGAGAGAGGCCTTTGTGACCAGCTCTCCCCAAGCTCTGTGAGGATCAAGACTGATGCCTCGGTCCTCAGCACACAGGTGACAAGGTCTACAGATCCCACATACCCTTCCCACACCTGAGACCCAGGAGGAGCTCAGACAGCAGTGGCACTAGCTGGACATCAGCTCCCAAAGTGACACGGGCCGGCTGGAAGCCCTGCCTCTGGATGCAGACTGCTCATCACAAGTTTGGCCCCCAGTCACTGGGCCAGCAGCCTTGTTCCCAGGGCTGACATCAGGGCGGGGCAGGGGTGCAAGGATGCTCACCATCCTCGGCTACATCCCCGATGGGCACGCTGTGCTTCTGGGCCATGTACCCGAGGAAGGAGAAGACCACGAAGCCTGAGGAGAAGCTGGTCAGGGAGTTGATGGAGGTGGTGAGGATCGCGTCTCTGCAAGACAAGACCAACGTCCTGGTGCTGCAGGCGAGACCCTTGTGATCATGCTGTTCTTACATCATTGCATCTGGGACTGAGAGGAAGCCTGGGGGTGCTGCCTTTCTGGACATGGGCAAGTAGCCATGATTCTGCAGCCTTGTTGTCTCCCGGTTCTAGGGTACAGTCAGGGCCCAGGGTGGGAAGGGTGCCTGAGGCCTGCAGGTAGGACTCCTGACACTAACGCTACGACAGGGTCCTGGGGAAGTGTAGATTCCCCAGGTGGGGCTTAAGTGTGAGTCCCATGCTTGCCTGGGCTGTGGGGACCCCACTCAGGGCTGGGAAACAGGGCTAGAGGCAAGGATGCCCTTGGGGCTTAGAGCCCTCTGGAGATCACTGCCCTCCCAGTTCCCAAGGGAGCTGTCTGCAGCTGAAGGGCTGCACACACCACCAGCAGAGTGGTGGACCCAAGTGGACACAGGGAGGGCTTGGGTAGAGTGATCTGGGACCTGTATCTGATGTCCTCCCACTGGGAACCTGCAGCGGCTGTCTGGCCATTTTGCTGTGTGCTGTCTTTATTTTTAGTGCATTTTTATCCCCAGGATGTGAGAGTAAATACAAGCCCGCAAAGGTCAAAGAAAGCAGGTCTCAGATTTAATTCTGTTCCTGTTTTTAGGAGGATTTGGGTCCAGCTTGAGGCTGCGGGTGAAACACGTTCTCCAGACCCCAGTGGTGTACATGCCCAGGTGGGTGGGGGTGAAGCTGGCCCAGAGCAAAAGCTGTGCTCCTAGGGTGGCCAGGATGGGAGAGGAGAGGGCTGCTGTGCAGGGGCCCCCACGAGGCCCCCTCCAGAAGAGACACATTCAAAGGAGGTTCAGTAGCTGCCTTAAGGTGAGGAGGACTTCGCTGGGAGCTGCCTGCCTGCAGATTCGAGGTTTTGCAAGCATTTCTCTCCCTTCCTGGGACAGATTCTGAGCCTGGTCCTCTCCCACAGGGATGGCAGCAGCAGTAATTGCTGACTGCCCCAGGAGCAGTATTTACCGATAGCAGTTGTTGGTGAACTTGTTGTAACTGGAGAAAGCGATCAGCACCCCAAAGCCCACGCCTAAGGAGAAGCACACCTGGGTGGCGGCATCAATCCATACCTGCAAACGAGGGAAGGGGTTCCTGGTTAGAGGGGCGAGCAGAACTCTGGCCAGCGTGATCTTCCCTGGGAGTTGCCCTGCACCCCTCCTCACCCTTGGGCTCAGGAACACCACAGAGCCAGCGTAGAGCCTGCTCGGGCTCAGGGGCAAATGCCAAGGGGGTGGAGTCTGGATTTGCTGGGTATCAGGGCTCATGGCCCACGCCTGCGTGACCCTCCCACGGCATTGGCTCCTGACCCTGCTCAGCCTCCTTCCCAGGACCTCCCATACCTGGGAGTACATTGGTGTGCAGTGGCCCTTGGGGAAAGCCCTCAGCTGCCTGAGGCAGATGCTGTGCCCAACACACAGGCCCATGGCTCAGGCATGCATGGCCACAACTACACAAACATGGCATTCAAATCTCAGGCATGCCAGCTGTCATCCCAGCTGCTCTGAAGGCTGAGGCAGGAGGACTGCAAGTCAGTTCAGGCAGATGGTGTTAGGCTAGTCAGCCCAAGCCTGCGGAGCTCACTTGAGGGCATACTCACTGATGCCTCGCAGAGCCGGTAGAAGTCCACACTCAGGTAGGCCCGGATGCCGTCGATAGCCCCTGGGAGGGTGAGCCCACGCAAGAGCAGGGCAGTGAGGACCACATAGGGCATGGTGGCCGTGATCCACACGACCTGAGGGGGAGGATGGCATCACCAGGCACTCACTGCCAGGGCCAGCCAGGCCTGGCCAGTTCCACAGGAACCACCTTACTGCAGGGCAGGGAGAAGCGCCCTCTGCTGGGTGCACCCTGCTAGGGCAGCTGCGTTGGCCACCTGGCTGGATTTGCGGGCAGCTTCCCAGGGCTGAGCTGGGCAGCAAGCAAGGTAGATATGGCCAGGAGGGGTAGGGCTATGGTGTGGGACCCAACCTGGCATGCATGAGGCCCCTCTGTGGGTACAGGGGCCTCAGTAGGTGTCGGCAGAGGAAAAGGCACGAAGCAACTGTCTTGTGGGGTCATTTTGGCCAAAGCAGCTCTGGTCACTTGTGTGATGCCCGAGTACTCTCATCAGGAACAGGGAAGAGCCTGCCGCCCATCTTCCTCCATACACACCTCATTATGGGCGCTCTCTGCCCAGACCCCTGCCAGGCACAGCCAGTGTGACCCCAGCTTCAGGTTTGTGCCTCACCTTGCCCGAGGTCTTCACGCCCTTCCACAGGCTGAAGTAGAGCAACACGATGACCAGCACCAGGCAGGCTGTGAGCTGCCAGCGCGGCGGGCCCAGGTCGTCAATGCCATGGCTCAGGTGCAGGTGCAGCACGCCACGCCTGTGGGGTCACACAGAGCCTGACCTGCCCTCCCGCCCATGGTGAGGCACAGCCTGGGGTCCACCACGGGGTCAGGGTGGACAGACACTAGCCCGTCCTGGCCCTCAGCAGCTGCTTTGGGCCTGTGAGGGAGGCCCAGGGCAAGCCTGGTGCCCACGGGCGGCCTGGGCTCGGAGCAGAGATGCGACCAACATGGCGATCCTGTGCTCTCTTGGGCCGATGCCTGGCTCCTGCTGCTGTGAAGACCAGACTTGGGACAGTGCTGCCCAGGGGTCCAGAAGCCACACACCACTCTGCATGTCCTTCCCAGGGAGCTGTCTCAAAGGCAGAGGACAAGGTCATGCGGAGAGGAGACTGGACTGAGCTGGTGGATGGGCCTGAGCACTTCCTGCGCAGTAACACCAGGTTCTGGAGACAGCCTGCAGGAAGCTGTGGGAGAGGCACTGCCCTTTCCACTGTGCCCTGCTCGGAAAACTGGGGAGCCATGCTACAAAGACGGCACTGCAGCCCTCACACGCTTGACTGTGCATCAGCCCAGCTTCCCTGAAAGTCATGCGGATCCCCAGGCTGGGTCGTGGCCTACCCGGCTCCCAATAGGCCTCGGGCCATATGGAGAGATCTGGCTTTCTGGACTCTAGCATCGCAGCCAGGGCAGAGTCCTGGCAGACAGAGTGGCTGCAGAGAGCTCCCATAACCTGCACACAGGCCACGGGGTTGCACTGAGCACAAGACTCAGCTCCGGGGGGCTGGGGGTGCAGGAGCTTAGGCCAGGCCCGCTGCACAGCTGAGGGACCCGGTCGCAATGAGCAGGACCATCCGTGTGGCTGCAGTCACCCCCAGCCAGGTAGTAAAGGCAATGGAGACCTAGAAGGCCAGCACCAGACCACATCATTTTCTCACCAAGCCTAGCATCTAATACAAACTAGAGGGCATGACCAGAAGTAGAAGATCTGATCTGAATCCACGAGGAAAATCAGCTAAGAGCCATTACTCACCACATGCAAAAATTAAAACAGCTAAGAGAGCTGAAGATCAAGGCTAAAACTCTCTTAGGAGAAGACACAGGCTAACTGCAGGAACTCAAATGTGGCGATGGGCTCTTAGACATAGCAGAGAGAAATAAATAGATATATCTGACTTTGTTAAATTGAAAAATGTTTGCATATCACAGAACTCTATCCACGAAGTCACAGGCACAACCTCAGAAAGAAACTAGAAGACTGAGTGCTAATTAACACAAAAGAAGGGGCCAGAAAGCAAGGACCGGGGAGAGGAGGCGTCAGCCCGAGAGCACTGAGGGGAGCCGTGAGAGAAGCCACACTGGCCGTTCCCACCTTGAAACCCGCATCACAAGACAGAGATGGCCCTGCTGATTCAGAAGCGAGGGCCACTCCCACGCCACTCCATGAAGCCCACGCTAATGACGCACATGGGTTAAAAAGGAAAGCCTGGGAGACACACAACTCCCACCAGCAGTCCTGAGGCAAAGAGGTACCACAGCACCACCAGACACAGCAGACCTCCGAGGGAGAAACGCACCACCGGGGGCTCCGGAGAGGTTGCCCGCGTGCACACTCCTCCTGTCAGAGCTCCTGAGCACAGAGAGAAAAGTTGATGGAAACAAACAAACCCAGGGCTGCAGCTGAGATTATACCCCTGTCTCAGTCACTAAGATAGGTACAGAGAAAATTCGCTACGGATGTGAAGACCTCCACACTATGAACATGGCCCACTGGGCACCGCAGTGCTCTGGCCAACAGCAGCAGCAGCAGCACAATGTGGGACTTAAAAAAAAAGGATGGCACTGTTTGGCCTCTGATTCCTGGCCTTAGGTGATATTCCTGCCTCAGTCTCCTGAGTTCTGCTGTGGCAGCTGGCACCACCAGGCCTGGCAAGAAGCACATTCATTTTAAGTGAACATGGAGGCCTCACCATCACATCCCATGGAGTGGGCCACAAAACAAATCTTTTCTCTTTTGAGACAAAGTCCTGCTATGTAGTTGCAGCAACCCTCCTGCCTCAGCCCCTATGCCTGGCTGGGAACCCTCTGAACTGGATGAAAATAGAAACACTTATCAGACTTAGCAAAGTCCCCACTGAAGCGAATTCCTAGCTTTCAAGCTATGAACTTCAGTTGACATCAGCAATTGGTGCGGTCCGAGTGTGTGCAGGGTGTGTGCAAGTGCTGACGTGCTAAACTTCTGGGTCGTCTGGTCCTGTTTTCAATTCCTCGGCCCACATCTCTATGGAATGGGTCACAGTGACCTGCACAACTCCGGGTGAACCCCTAGTCTCTGTCCTGGGCTTCAATGGACACTGCTGAGAGTGGAGGCTGGAGAGGGAGCCGGCCAGGACAGGGGAGAAAAACAAACAAACAAACAAACAAACAAAAAACAAGCAGGGAGAGGGTGCCCGTGAGATAGCTCAGCAGACTAAGTGCCTGCTGAGGCAAGCTTAGACAAGTGCGGGGACTGCAGTTCGATCAGGATTCTGTCACCCCTGCCACCCTGACCTGCATGACAAAGTGGGCATGGATGCCAGACCCCCATAGACCTGAGGGTTTAAGGCTGCCTTAGGGAGCCCAAGCCTCACGGACCTGCCGGGCCAGGAGACTCTAGGAGCGAGGGCTTGAGGACCTCTCATGTTCAGAAAACAACTTCAGCCTCCCCTCTAGCATCCTGCATCACAGTTCACCAGACTAACCCTTCTTTCCCTCTTGTCTTGTCTGAAACTCACCTGGATGAATCAAAGGTCTCTACTCCTCCCAAAGAGAAAATAAGTGCCTCCCATGCATTCCTCCCAGTGGTTCAAATTACACAAAATCCATAGGAAAATTATAAAATCACACGAGCTGGAAGCCCTCAGGACTTTCGCCTGTGCAGTAAGTCAAACCCACTCAGGCAGAAGCTGACTCTGGCTCCAAGAGGCCTGCAGGCTTCGGCCCACGGGGTCTCTGCTGCGCCTCCCCTGAGCACACGCCATCGCCGGCCCCTCTTCTAGCCACACGCTGCCCCGGGGTTGGGCCACTCGGCAAGTGCACCTCAACCGGCCTCGTTCCCTCCTCAGAGTTTCTTGTCTGGGAAATGGGTCAATGACGACCTCCCTGAGACTATGCTGAGACCCACAGAGAAGACTGAGCCATCCTTCGCTCAGGACACACGCGTGTTTCTCACCCACTGTCACTCCGAGAGTGACATCCCACCCCGTCCCACTCTTCATGACTTCCCTGCCTGAATGGTGACTTATAGCCTGTCGGCAAAAGACCCACTTGCTGTTGACTCCGGAGCCATCTCACCTAGGAGGTCAAAGTCCCCCCGTTAAGCAGTCAGTGGACTCCTATACAGAAACACGAGTGGGAGCTGCGTGGCCAGCGGAGCATCACGTTCCACATGAAATCGCAGACCTGCTGCAATTGCTGCAGTGTCCTCTCTATTAACTCTGTGACTCGGGAGGATCTACCTCAGTAAGAACTGCCAACCTGGCCTGGAGCCAGCACGCACGGGCTCTTGCACGTGGCTGATGGCGGGCACCCTCATCTGCACACTCACGACCCTTCATTACCACGACTCTTGCTGAAAGTCATGCTTCACCCACACACATGAAGCCTGAGGAGGGCTGGGGACAGCAGACCCAGAGGTCCTTCCAGATTGGCCCTGGTGACAGGCCCAGAGAAAAGCATCGCTGGGCAAGGCCTGGCCTGCCAGGGGACTGCAGAGGCACAGGATACTGGGAAGCTCAGGCGTGAAGGTGTGAGGGGGAAGGAGCGACAGTGGAAGAAGTAAAACTGGGTCTGCAAGACAGCAGAGACCCCGCAGTCACAGCCAGCCTATCCGATGAGCAGTAGTTCAGTTGTGGTGCTAAGAAAGGTGGCTTCCCAGAGGGGCCCAGAGCCCAAGGCCAGTGAGGGGCCCAATGTGTGGGAAGTGTTGGGGAGAGGGGAAGTCCCATGCATCCTTCTTCCGGCAGCACACGGTGTCCCCAGCACCCCACCCACTCCACAGCAGGAGTGGATGAGATGGAGAGGGACGGCCTGTGTCCAGCTGCCCAGAGCTCATTCTGAGGGACTTGGGGACCTCTCATGTTCAGAAAACAACTTCAGTCTCTCCTCTGCTGAGCCACATGGTCACTCCGGGCATCAAAAGTAGCCTCTCAGGTGTGTGTAGGGCACAGGAGACAGCAGGGCAACTGAGCCCTCAGCACCCCCCCCCCCAACACACACACACTTACTCGAAGTACTCAGCTGCGGGTGTGGTCCCAAAGGTGCTGTTGAGGCCGGGGCTGTCACTGGCGTTGCCCGTGGGGGCATCGGAACAGTTGGGGCTGTTCCAGGTGTTGTTGCAGTGGGTCCAGGGCAGCTCCACGGAGAAGGAAGAGAAGAGGTAGTGCAGCGCCCAGGCGATGATGACGTTGTAGAAGAAGCCCACGTAGAGTGAGATGAGGATGACTGTGAAGCCCACACCTGGCAGGACAGCACAGAGCCACTGTCAGCAAAGCCACGGTCTGCCACCGTCCACCCCCGCATGGCAGACCTCTCCCCTCAGCAGCAGCACGCTGGCATCCTGGGTGCCAGGCAACTCCCCAAAACATACAGCTTGTGGAGGCTCTTCCGTATTCCACTGTGGGAGCAGAGAAGGGGGCATCCACCTTCCAAAGCATCTCTCCACCCAGAGGAGAGATTGCGATTTAGAGGGCATCACTGGGGACACCAGGGCCAGGGCAAACCTCTTGTGTTCCTCTAGGGACCCCTATGGCCAGCCAGGGACAAACAGGATCATCTGGGGCATCTGAAAACCATCCAGGGCCACCCAGACACACCAAAGTCACCTATAGCCACACAGGACCAATGAGGACAAAATGGAAAAGGAAGGGATATCTTCCAGCCACTCAAGGTCACCCAGGATGCCACTCTGGGTCACCCAACTGAGAGTCACCAAGGACTAATGGCTCCATTCAAAACCACCAATGTCACCCACAGTCAGCTAGGGCCTGTAAGGGACACTCGTGCTAGCAGAGCCATCAAAGGTGACCCAGTGCCTTCTACAATCACCAGAGCCACCAACAGTACTAAGAGACAACCAGGAGCTCTATGGCCATTCATAGTAACCCAGACTCATTTGAGACAAAACTGCCCATGGTTACCCAGGGGATTTAAGGCCCTAAGAGTCTCAGGCCATTCATAATCATCTATGTCCTCCATGGACAGCAGGGCTTTCCAGGGCCACCTGAAGCTGTCCATTGGCATCTACAACTTCAGAATACTAGGATAAGCAGTCATTTGAGGCAATCACAGCCAGCTAGAGCTACCCAGGCCAGGCAAGCCCATGTAGGATCTCTGGGGGTCATTTGTGACCACCCAGGGCTTTCTAGATTCACCATAGTCATACATGACCACCTCAGGCTTTCTGGGGGCATCCAGGGCTGTGTGTGACCATAAAGGACCTCTCAGGCCATGCATGGCCAGCCAAGACCACCCAGGGCATGTAAGACCATCTAGGGCTCCCAGGGCCACCCAGGGCCACCCAAAGCCTCTCCAAGGACTAGAATCTGGGATCAGTCATGTGACAGTGGTCCTGGTAACCTGGAAGAGGACACTCTGCATGCAGTCCCCAGGCTGCTGCCATCCTGACCAGTGTGTAGTTGTGCCTGACAGTCCACAGGCTCCTCCATTGGTCAAGGGATCCTCCTCATACAGTGCTGGGCAGACACTCATGTAGCCGTCACTGTGGTTCACTTGACCCAGGGCCATGCAGAATCCTCTTCATCTCAGCACCTCCTCTCAGCTTTGCGAGGTCGGAGCTACAATTTACTGATTTACTTTGATTTATTTTCATGAGACTTGGAGGCAGCTTTTCCTGCTTGCTGGTCTGGAGGAGGGAGGAGGGAGGAGCATGTCTTTAAGGGGACTTCTGCAAGTGTTCTTGGGTAACCCTTAGGAGAAACTGTTTTCATGCTCAAGGCTACTTGCTAAAGTTCTCTTCTTATCTTGAAAGAAAAATTAAAAGCAAAAATGCACTACAATTTGTGTCAAACCCAGGATCAGAACTATGTCCCTGTGCTCAGACGTAGGGATGACAAAACCAAAACTATTTCCTTCCACTGAGAAACTTGGTTACTCTGGGGAGAAACTCATCAACGTTGGTTAATTCTCCTTTGCAATGCTGTTCACTGAGCTCCTCAGGAGAAAGGCTGGTTTGTGATTTAGACAACTTGCACATGCGGCCGTACTGGGAGGCCACGTTACCCGGAAGCTGTGTTGTCAGGAAGTCACCTGCTGGGAAGCTGTGCTGGCAGGAAGCCTTGCTTCTGAGAAGCCACGGTGTTCCAAAGGGCACCATGGAAAGTCTTGCACGGCAGCCAGCCGACTGTGGATGCTCAGTCTGAAAACTGTTCAGGGTCAAAGCTTTGTATACATGGTGCCCAGTTTGGAACTCTGGGAACTCAAAGAAGCCTTTGGTCAAATGCGACGGTAGATCCAAGCCTGAGGTTTGAAGGCAGGGCTGATTTTGTCCCAGCTTCACAACAACGCAAGTCCGCTTAGGCTGTGTGCTTCCAGAGTGGATGGTGCACATGGCTGGCAACACAGCACAACGCAGCATCTCGCAGGCCTCTCCTATGCTGTCATCCTAGGGCCCCCGTGCCTAGTGAGAAAAGTGGGGTGCCAGGAAGGAGGTGCATGTGCTGGCCACGCATGTGGCCCCTCTGAGCACTGCCCTCCAAGAGGCACACCCCACCTGCTCTAAGGAAAGCTCCCTTGGATACCTCATTTACCACTCAGTCTCTGCCACGACCCAGCAAATATCAACAGGAACCCAACACAGTTCCCTGTCCCGGGAAGCTCAAGGCTGGATGTGAACTTCAGTGAGCACGAACACTGTTAATTTTCTTAAATTCTTATTCTTAGTATTTCCTTATGTTAACTGTGTGTACATTTTGCTTTTTCTTTAAACTACCTTAATTCCTTTTTTATTAGAATGGAGAGTTTCATAAGCCATACTAAAATATTATTTACTACAGAATGTTATGAATTTTTATGTTTAATATAGCAGGGTGTGGGGTTTTCCCTCCAGCACCTGCAAAATGGAGTTTGTTACTGGTAAAGGAACGAAGACCTAAAGGGAGCTTCCTGCTAGCATGGGTGCCAGGGCGCTGAAGAGCAGTTTAGACTCCTTCCTACTACCCAGACTCGGCACTCCACATGTACCCACAAAGCTGGCCATGGGGAGGGACCCTAAACTCACCCCAGGACTATGGCTGGAACAGGTGGTTGGTCTGATAGCACCCCCAGGCCTCCAAGTGCTGTGGGGCAGGACTTGAGGTAAAAGGGCAGGAGAGAGGCTCGCCAGAGCCCAGCCGTCCTCGGGGTTGTGTGTGAGTGCACGTGTGTGCATGTGTGTGCACATATGTGCTGTATGTGCTATGTGCACTGTATGTGTTCTGCATGTACATATGTGTGCTGTGTGTACTGTGTATATAGGTGTGTGTTTTGTATGTGTATGTGCCCTGTATGAATATGTATGTTCTGCACAGGGTGTGTGTTCTGCATGTGTGTGCCTGTGTGTTCTGTATTTGTACAACATGTGCATGTGTGTGCTGTGTGTGTGCACGTGTGCTGTGTGTGTGCACACTCATATCAGAGAAGCCAGGGCGGAGAAGGAGACACAGAAAGGGGAGGGACACAAGCTTGAGGCTGAGATTTAAGGACGTGCTTCCCTGACTGGTGATGGCCCGCCTCTATGCAAAAGCCACCAGGAGCCTCTAGCTGCAGTGCCACTGCTGGCCCTGCAGACTCGGCCTCAGACACAGCTGAGCCTCGCCCTGGAAGTCGCCATCTGGAGTGTGGCTCTCCCGGGCGAAGCTCAGCACCTGTGGGATGGGGCCCCGGGGCCAGGAACACAGAGGGCCAGGCACCTGCAGAGGGCGCTGAGGAGCTAATGAGCGCTTAGCTCCCCGGGTAGTTATTTTGGGTCATTTAACAGCTTTCTTCACTTACCACATCCTGTCCTGCTCACAGAGACGTGAAACAGGTAAATTTTCAGGAAGCAGACCTAGAAGAGGGCACAGGAGCCGGGGCTCCAGGGCACCATGGCTCTGCCTGCCCAACTGCAGGGCAGCTGCATCCCAGCCAGGCTGGGCCCTGCGGCTGCCCCAACAGTCACAGGAAGTGCCCGCCGGCGCAGTGGCCAAAAGCCTGGGTTTCTCCCTTGACTCACAGATCTTCCCCTGACCACAAAATACCCCAGAGTCATGCTGCTCATGTCCTGGGAATCACAAGGTCCCCACAGTCGTGGGTGACAAGGTGGCAGTTCAGAGAGGCCATGGGCCACAGGGTGGGTGGATCACTGCCCACCACCTTTCCCACCTCAAGGGAAGCTGCATATCTGGGTCTTTGTTTCCCCATGGTGGGTGCCTGCGCAAGGCATTCATGCCCTCGTGTCCCAAGCCACGTCCACAGGACCGTGTCACACTCTGGAGTTCCTGAGAGTCACCTGATGATTTAAATTTTAACGGTTTTTATAAATGCGATATAAAAACCTGCTGTGGCAGTTGGGTGGAAAACACTGCTTGCAAAGTGACATCCAGAGGGACACCAGTTCTCACTGTCACCTCTGGCTGGAGGGACGGTCGGCCCTCCTCCCTGTGGCTTGGCCAATGCAATCTCTGCCTGGGTATACAGAGCGGTTCTCCAGGCTGACTGGACACCGGCTGCCCAGAGGGCCCAGGATGACATCAGCCTGTGTCCTGGTGAGAGACGGGCAATCCCACAAAACCCTGGCCTCACCAGTCTGGGTGGCCACACACACTCTCTGGTCCCTGACACCCCCTCTGCTGGAGGCGCTGAGCTCTCAGATGCCACCTAACAGGAGCCTGAGCCAGGGTTCTCCTGGCCACCACCACCTCTGATGAACATCTGCTCCTGGGCCACAGCTCACGCGGGGCCAGGTCCTGGGGGCACAGCAGTTCCTCTGCATCTGGAATTGTGGGCCTGCGTCCACAGACCACGAGCAGTGTCCAGTCCACCTCGTGTATCGTTCGCTAGAATTCCGGGGTCTCCGGTTGGCCAGTACTTTCTCCACAGAGGACACAGTGGGGACAGAGATGCATTTAAACAGCTCAAGTTGTTGTGTTTTGTTTTATTCTTTACTTTTTCAGGTGGTTCTTTCAAACTTTGAATCCTGCTCTTTTTTTTTTTTTTTTTTTTTTTTCAGAAGCAGGGATTGAACTCAGGCCCTTGCGCTTGCCGGGGAAGCGCTTATTCCACTGAGCCATCTCCCCGGCCCTGAATCTTCCTCTCAGATCCCACTGGGATGCATCACCCCTGAGGAGAATTCTCTGGAGAGAATCAATTATTTAGCTTAGGAAAGGAGCTGCAGTCTTAGAAGTTACCACAGGCCTTAGGCCCTAAAGCGCCTGTCCGCCACCCTGGATTCTCTGCTACTCAAGGGGACTCTGTCTTCTGGAGGACAGTCTTGTCCTCTTATAGTGCAGCCTTAGTCACTGGATGTCCTATTTTAAAAGCAGCGCTTGCTGGTCTTCAGTTTTGACCCCTGGCCCCAGGACAGTGTGCCTGGAGGCTGCTAGCCTCTGTCCCCTTCAACATGCACCAGCTACTCAGAGCTTGTGAGAAAATCCAGTCTGATCTTTCATTAGTAAGTTTTTTAGGTGCACCCCCTGTCAGAGGTGCACCTTCCCCTGGTCTCTCCAAGAAAGCACCCCAAAGTTCCCAGAACCCCAGGTGCTGAGACCCAGAGCCTGGCTGGAAGCTTAACAGGTATGGACTGAATCTCGCTCTGTTTCTCCCAGGTGATTACTCAAGCCCCCTATGCCCAGTTTGCATTTCCAGCGGACAGCACAGCATGCCTACCCTGGCTTTTTGGGACCCAACCTGGGGTGTGGGAAGGCAGCTGCTGGGCTGGTCACCTGGGTGCAAGACAAGGTGGCCTGGCTTCAGCAGGCTTGAAGGCTGGGTGAATAACTAGACAAGTGGATGGACAGGTGATAGAGAAATAGATGGATGAATATATAGAGAAAAGATGGATGGGTGGCTGATGGATGGTTACATGCTGGGTGATGATAGATGGGTGATGCCTGGATGGAGAGATGACAAAGGTAGGCAGATGATGGAGAGATGGATGATAGGTGGTGGGTGGATGATTAAGTTGGATAGGCAGATGATAGATGAATGGATAGGCAGATGACCGATGGATGGTGAACAGATGACAGATCAATAGACGGATGGATGCTTAATCTTATCTACCATTTCAACACCCTGACCATAGACCATCACCACTGAGGCAGGAGTGTCCCTAGTACCAGTGAGGGCACCCTTATATCTGGGTCAGGGCCTACCCATAAAGCAGGACTCAGATTAGCACAGTGGTGCAGAGCCTCCTGCCTTAGCAAGCAGGACTGTGTGCATGCTTTGAGCCCTGGGGTGTGCCTTACCCTTCAGGATGGGGCAGATCTTCCAGACACCAGCGGCCCCCTCCCTGTTGAACTGCCCCAGAGCCAGCTCCATGTAGAATAGGGGCATCCCAGCAATCACCATAAAGAGCAGGTAGGGCACCAGGAAGGCTCCTGCGGGCAGACAGAACCTTGAGCATGGGGCCATATGGGGCTGGGGTCACCTCCTAAGCTAGGGCCCTGTCATATTAGGTGGCATGACCCTCTTCTCCAGCTGGTGAGTCTACCTTCTCTAGGGCTGTCTCCTGTGGAGTCTGCACCCCACATGTCCTCCTGATGCCGCTGCTCACGCCCTTCTGGGTCATGGACAGAGCCCTGTCAGGGGAGGAGGCCCCGCCCACTTGGCCATGCTGGCTCCCTCTTGCTCACCCTGCACTCTGTGATCAGTCTTCCCTGACCCTCTCCAGGTTTCCACATTCACAGCCTTCCTCGCCTGCAGCCTTGGCTGGGGTCAGGTTGCTGGCAGGACCTGTGGCCAGGATTCCCAAGGCCCTCCTGTCTCCCTTGCCTGGCTGTAGAGATGGGTGCCCTGCCTTGGCTCTGCTGTGCTCTGGAGTTACTGGGTGCCTGGGGAACCTCAGTCTCCGAGGTGCCTGGGGAACCTCAGTCTCCTCATCTCCAAGATGGGCTGTGAAGCCCAAATGCTGGGACATGCGAGGGCACCCCCAGAAGCTGGGGGGAGGAGTTGGCATCACCATGTGGGCACATGCATGCGGTCTCAGGAGCACCTCTTCCTCCTGCCATCCATGGCACTCACTGGTGCCCCCAACAGCACTTACCTCCACCATTTTTGTAGCACAGGTAGGGAAACCGCCAGACATTGGCCAGGTCCACGGCAAAGCCGATGACCGACAACAGGAAGTCAATCTTCTTGCCCCAGGTCTCCCGCTCCTGGGCCTCCACGGGGCTGTGGGGCGCACTGATGAGCGTGGAGTTGGTGAGCTGCACGCCATTCTGTTCCTTGACCAGGACAAGCTCCACCTCTCGGGGCCCTACAGCATTGGGCTCCTTGGCTGGGGCCACCACGGAGGACATCAGCCCCACAGGACACTTGCGTTCACTCATGGCTGACAGGATCGGGAGCTCTGGGCTTCCTCCTCGTACCAACTTGAAAAACACACAGGAGAACACGGGGTTAGTACCTCGGCCGAGGGCAGAGACCTGGGCACTGGTTCCCTGCAACTAGGGCAACAGCTGGGGTACGGATGGCTAGGAGATGCTGGGGCACACCAGAGTGGGACATGTGGAGCCCCGAGACACACAGGCCAGCTGTGGGCCTCCTCCACAACTGCACTGAGGTGAGGTACAGCGCTGGCCACCTCTAATCTCCTTTCTAGCAACACACACGGACGCAGGCTCCACCCTTCTCCCACTCCCAGAGAGCAAGCTTACAACCCTCAAATGCATCAATGCTGTCATCATAACTACACAGGATTCCTCTGTTCCAACCCTGATTACCATCTTGACTGGCTCGAGAGCCCCAGGAGATGAGAGCAACTGTGGGTCCCAGAGAGAACCTGGCAGGCTGGCTCCCCACCCTGCTCTGGCCACATTGTGCGGGGCAGCTTTCCTGCTATGCCATCCCTGTATAGGGCAGCCACCACCTGTGGAACTCTGCTGCAGTCAGTCCCCCTCATCTCCACCATGTGTGCTGGCTGTCTTGTCCCAGCAGCAGAAAAATGACTACTGAAGCACGCCCAGGATTACAATAAAGAGCCAAAGCATCAGCCACAGGAGCTGAGAGTTTGAAAATGACTGCAACAGGTTTGAAAATGACTGCAACAGGTTCTTCAAAGAACGTCTGCATGGCCACCTCTACTGTGCACACCCGGGTGGCCAGGTTACAGCGGGCTTTGCCTGGGACAGTGGCTGCATTAACAGGGCAATGGCTCTGCTTGATTTCTGCAAAGCTGGGGGTGGTGCGTAGGGTGGGGAGGGGACTCGTCTGAGCCTGCTGAGGCTTTGCGCTGGACCCTCAGGGGAGGCCGGCAGGGCGCGGCTCTCACTAGCCCGACTTTACCTCCCCAAACAGAAACTTTGGGCAGACGTTATTCTGTGCGCAGCTTTCTGTGCCTCTTTAGCTCCCGGCGACCAGCGGACCGCGCCAGCCCTGAGCAGCTACTTCTGAAAAGTGCAGGCGCGCGAGGGGTTGAGGCTTCGGAGCTCGGAGCTAGTGCAGCCGCGCAGAGCTTAAAGCCAGCGCCCCTCTGCTAAGGCCCCGCCTGCCCGAGGAACCCGCAGGGAGATTTGCGTCAATTCTGAACCCGGACTTCCTGGGACCAGGTTTGTCTCCCAGGGGAAGCACCTTCCCTACCCAGCAAAGCCGAGCTGGCGTGACCCGCAAAAGCCAGGTCCGAGGCGAGGCAGATGGGAGCACCAAGCCCCGCCGTTCCCGACCTGACAGAGCCCACGGCGAGGGCACTGCCCGGAGGTGGAGAGGGTCGGGTCTGCACGGGGAGCAGGGTCCGTGAGGGAGCCGCAGTCCCACCGCCCAGCGCTTGGATCCAGATGTAGTATTCGCCGGGCCAGTCAAGCCCGGCATTCCCGCCTGCGGCGACCCCACCCGACTGTGCTTGCCCTGCTTGGCTTCGGGGTGCGGGGGCGCCCTCACCTGCCTGGGCCTCAGGTCCTGCCTGCGCAGTCCGCGGGGCTTCAGCGCCAACGCCAGTCTCCCGCACCAGCGCGCAGCCGGGACTCTTATGCAGTCACCGGGGTCCGCCCCGCCCCACCCCGTCCCGTCCCGCCCCCTGCGACGCCAGAAGATCTGAGCGCGCAGTCTTCAGCACCTCGGGGTGCAGTCTGCAGGGCGTGCGTGAGCAGCCCCACTCTCGCCACACTCTCTTGCACCCGGGCCTCAGCAGGACGCAGACTCTGCGCGCACCCCCAACCCAGTCTCTGGGCCCCACCCCCAACCTGCTGTGAGCTTGGCTGGTGTATTGTTCAGATGACCTCCTCACCCATGTCCCTCATCCCTCACCCTGCCCCTGCCATAGCTCGCGGGAGGACCCAGCCTCTGCTCCTCTGGTCATCCAAAAGCAGGTCTCTCTGTGCCCCAAGACTGGGCATCAGGGCATTCACCCATCGGAACAAGGGCCCCAGTCTCAATGGCCTGGGAAGGCGGTTTACCAGACCAAGTTGGCAGCCCTGCAGTCTACACCTGACTCCAGGACCGGAAGAGCGCCGAGTTCTGGCTTTGGTGCCTTGGACACAATGTTACTCTGCCACCAGGCCAGAGCCAGGATGCCCAGGGCAAAGAAGGCCCCGGTGAGTGAGGCTCCTGGCTTCGCACCCTGTAGGGTAGGATCAGGGTTGACAAGGACTTTAGAGTAGGGGCCTCAGGAATATAGCCCCTGCTCTGGGGCACAGAGCAATGCCCTTCTATCTTGTGCGTCTGTGTGCACCTCTCCCCAAGCAGGGCTGCACCCTGAGGTTTCTCTGCTCCCCAAAGCCCCCTGACAGCTACACTGCTCTTCTAAGCTGAATGAGACCCCAGCAGGAAGAAGGGACAACTGCGTGTCCTGTAACCCAGCAGGTGATGTCCCAGGCCAAGGCCCAGCTACTCAAGTCTGCTGAGGGTTCTGGGTGGGCTGGGGCAGGTGGGATTGTCCTCAGGGAGGGAGGGACAGAGCTCCTGGGCTTGCTTTTGAGGGCACAGGTCCCATTCCTGATCCTCATCACCTTTCCCACCTGCCACATCATCTGACTAGAACAGGGCTTTAACAAGGCTTGAAGGTGGAGACGGAGGAAGTTTGGGTTTCAGGACAGGGTGAGGGGCACCCACACTCTGCAGTGCACCAGGGCCACTCCCTGCAATTAAAATCAAATGCACTGCACACTGAGGAGGAGGAGGGAGCCCCACCAGCGGGGTCAGGGAGCGTCTAGCCCCAGTTGGAGAGTCCTAGTAACTGTGGAGACGGTGGGACAGGAGGCCAGGTCAGAGCAGCACCCAACAGAGCATCAAAGCACAAGCAGGCAAAGCTGGGAAAGCTTGTGGCCCTGAGGGGAACAAACCACGTCCCACCTGCCCAGAAGAAAGAGGTCCCAGGTGAGGGTCTTGCTACTGACATGAAACACACACAGAGTGCACCTGTACCCAGGCAGGAAGCAGTGTCTGCCCTCAGGGCTGTGCTTTCTTGCCCTGACCTCCAGCAGTGCACTTAGGATTGGGTTGCACCGTCCTCCAGCAGAATGGCAGAGTGGGGGCTGGGCTGGCAGCCTGGCTTTGGGGACGGCAGCAAGGGTCCGACCCTTTCTGGCTGAGCAAAGGTAGTACCGAGGTGGTTGGTATGAGTTGATTAAACCTGATTAAACAGCGACCTTTGCCTGCCTGGATCCTTGCCCTAAATGCCAAGCTAGCTTTATTATGGTCCTGCTGCAGCTGCCGATGCTGGTGCAGAGCCCTGGATAGAGAGCATTGCCTGCTTCCTGCCTTCCTGTTTGCTGGGGACCAGCCTTGGCCACATAGCTGGGTGGGCTATGTGGGGAGGAAGGGAGAAAGGAGGGAGAGAGAGGGAGGGAGGAAAGGAGAGAAAGAGGGAGGAGAGACAGGAGGGAGGAGAGGCAAACCTAGAGAGATAAGAGATAAACAATGCAAGAGGCAGAGGCAGAGGCAGATAGAGACACCGGTGGTAGGAGGAGAGATGGCCAGACAGACTGCCGGACAGGCAGGGCCTGGGCTGGTGTGGGATCACAGCCCCAGGACCCAGAGGCTGGCGCTGCAGAGGGCAGATGGATGCAGATTCTGTGCCCAGCGTTGCAAAGAGTTGGCAGCAGGAATCAGTGTAGGGGTCCTATTCTTATAGCAGTTCAGGGAAAACAGAGAAAACAAACACAAAAAGCCACATGGGGCTTCTGGTCAATCATGAGACAGAGGTTTCTGGGGTCTCCTGGGCACAGTGGCTGCAGATGCTGAAACTCCGACCTTCAGCTGCTAGCAGAGAACTCCAGGGCTGGCTGGAGCCCTGCACATACAAGCATGCAGTGTCGCCCTGGGGCTGCCAGGGGACAAGATTCTGGAGGCCAGAGGTCACCCCCAGGGCTGCTTCCTCTCATCGCTGCTAGGGAACCGCTGCGGGCTCCAGGCCTCTTCCCAGCTGCGGAGTGCTGGAGTCTGGTGTCGTGGGCACGCAGAAGCCTCAACCCATCTCGATCCTGCCCTCTTCATGCTCCTGCTTCTGGACCCCCTTTATGAGGGACAGTGCAACATCGTCTCCCCCTGCCTCGCCTTAGTCTGAGTGCTTCTGTAAAGGCCCCATCTGCAGTAAGGACTTCCACATGTGAATCTGGGGTACACCATTTAACTCCAAATAAAAAGGAACTGAAACAGATTGCCCAGAAGGGGGCATCTTAGAACATGGCTGGGCTGGGCCGGGAAGCAGGGCTGGGGCTGGGAGCTGCTGTTGCTCCCCAATGGGCACCTGCCAATGCACAGCAACATTTTCATGCAGTTCTCTCTCTAGGGGCCCCGTGTGCCCGTGTGATGAGCTCTCTGCAACCAGTCATGAGGGAGGCTGCTCCTCCTGCGGGTTCTGCAGATGTCAGAGAGGGCGAGGCCCTATGTGTGGTGGGGTGCGCAGCAAAGTACTCTGCCCCTGTCTGTGTGGAGAAGAGCTACCAGCACATGGGGCACTGCTGCCCTGCTGAGTGAGGAAGCCCTGGCCCCAAGCCCTGACCGTGCTGTCTACCTAGTTTGTGTGATGGCCAACCCTAGGTCTGGGACAGCAGGGCTCTGAGCAGAAGTGGGAGGTAGGTGGATGCTCCTTGTCAGCCACTGGTAGAGACTCCTCTCTCTGGGACAAAGCGGCTGACAAGCACAGTTTAAGGAAGCAGGTTGTTAGCTCATGGTTTTAGAGGCTTGAGCCCAGAATCAGATGGCTCTGAGGCAGGAACACTGTGGTACATGGAAGATGCTCACAGCATGGCGCCAGAAAGCAGAGGTGGGCACCTGGGTAAGATGTGGCCTTCTGGTCACACCCATGACTGCCTCCTCCCTGCAGTCCTCCAGTAGCTCCTCAGCTGTGAACTTGTCTATGGGTTAATGCACTGCTAAGGTCAGCAGGATCCAGTCCCCTTCTAAGGGCCCCACCTCTGAGCACAGGAGCCTCTAGGGGACACTGGTTCTAAACAACAACACCCCCTACTCACAGTGCCAGCTCTCCGAGGCAGCTGGGAGGAGGCTCTGTGTGCAGGCAGTGGGGTGTGGTCCCTGCCATTCCTCCCTTCTGGGCAGTACCCTCTCCCAGCTGGGCCCCTCCAGACCCCAGCACTACCTCTCGGTCCCCTGCAGCAGATCCCTCTATGTGCACTGTCTGGTGCGTGCTCCAGGCTGAGTTGTTTGTAGGATTGCAACTAAGCTGTGGTGTCCCAGGATTGCATCTTCTTCTTCGAATATTGTTGTTTCTCTATAATTTAATGTCTACTTCTCATTGGTTAGTTTTCTATGTTCTTGTCATTCATTCATCTCCAGTGTGTCCACCGATGCATCCAACTACAGGGGCGATGCCAGTTTGTGTTGTTGTTTCATCATTTAGTGATGGTTGGCTAAACACATGCCCTTACTTCAGCTATTGGGATGAACAAGTCTGATGAACTCATTTGTCACACAAGAGACCCTGTCCCTTGTCCTGTCCACAGCTTAGAGCCATGGGATAAGCCCTGCCCCTGGAGTAAGAGCAGGGCAGAGCACACTGGAATGGATATTGTAGATGTAGATCTGTCCCCCTCAGCCACCAGAGGGAACCATCGCTATTCCCAGGGTGTCTGCCCAGAGGATGGGCCAGCCCACAGAGCCTGCGGAGCGCCAGACACCGACTGCTGTGACACTAATTCCTGGGGCTCCAGTGCCCGTGTGATCCTTTCAGAGCTGGGCTTGTTCAGTCAGCAGATAACGGGCTTGGCCAGGTCACTGCGCATTGTTATCCCGTCCAGAACGTGTGGCCACCGAGACGTGCTCAGCTTCCGGCAGACACCACTTGTTTATATCCCAGGGCATGATGAGGGGTGGAGAGAAGTGAAAGCCCTGCGGGTGGCCTGTCCTTGTCACACTACTCCGGTAGAAGTGACTTACTTCTGTTGCAGTCACCAAAATTAGGGCTCAGATTAGGACGGGAATGCAGATGATGTGCTTTCTGTCATAGCCCATTCAGTGCAGCCCCCTCACCTGATCCAGAGACTTGCAGGGTCATCACCAGCATTGTTGGACCAACCATCGGACTCCCAGGTTTCCATGCTGGGCTCCTTACCAGGTGTAAAACACCCACTGGGCCATAATATACCACCCCCACACCCAAGGAGGACGGGCTTTCCGCTCATGGTTTCTGAGGAGCTGGTCCATGGCCAGCTGGCTCCAGAGTAGGGAGGTCACTATGGTAAGGAGAGGAGGAAAATGTGCTCTCCCCTGGTGAGCAGGAAGCAGAGAGAAAGGAGGAGCTGGGGACAAGAACACATGTTCCCAGGGGCCACTTCCACCCAGACCCCTCCTGCCAATAGCAGTCAGCTGGGAGCTCACCCCCTGTGGGCCCACTGCTAACTACTGTGCTCATGATTCAGGAGTCTGTTGGAGGTATTTTAGGTCTGAACTGTAACACTGCTGAGGCATAAAATACGTGTGAGACGTGGACACTAGGAAACTAGAATCCACTGCCGAGGGACCTTTA